GGTTTATGTTAAATTTGGTGCTACTTTCATTGCTTTTTTAATTCCATTTAGCATTAAAGCTCATGTTGACAAAAACATGCATGTGAAATTAATGATTACTAGGGACAACTTTTGCATGCTTTAGAAGGTGTTGTGGCATTCTCATCTGTACTTGGAGTTCTTTTAGGACATAACTCATCATTTCTTCAAAAGCTAGCATTTGGTCCTCCTTGCATTAGGAAGGCAATCTGGTGTAGCCTGGATAATTGGGTGAGTCATTTGATGTTATATATTTGGACATGTAGTAAAAATTCTCAATTGTAGTAGCAGATGGGTCTTTTTTAAGTTTTGTTGAAAGATATAAGCTTCTATTTTGTTATGTAATCAAACTAAAAGATGTCTTAATTATTCTTAGAATGATAAGTAATTCCATAAATAGATGGGAAATATGTTCTCTAAGATAGTTATCACTTTTCTTTTTCTTTTACAATTGCCAAATTAGGTTTCGATCATTATTATAGGCCTCTTGGCTACTATTTTTATCATTATAACTTTTGGGCTCCTTATTTGATTTGTGCTTGCTAATTTATCTTTGATTTATTTTATGAATTTTTTTTCAATTCCCTAAATTAAGGTATTCCATTTTTTTGGGCAAAAAAGAAAAACACTTTGTATTCAATCATTAAAAAATTTATTATTTTAATTATACTACATTTTCTTCCAGTGTTACATAAGGCATCTCTTACCACACTTCATGCTTTATTGTGACATCAATGGTTCTTACCTACATAATAGCTATTCCTATGTTTAATATAATAATTTTGTCCTTAACTATGAAATTCAAAGTAAGACTATGATTACTCTTTTCTACAAGCTCCAATCTTTTTATAAACAATAAAGGTAACCTCAAGCTTGCAAATTTTGGGCTTACCCACTTATTCTTAAATGATCACAATGCAAATCTTACAAATAGTGTTATTATTTTATGATACATCTATATGATTTTACTCTCTGTGTTTACTTGTATGCTAACCACCAAGGAATGTATTTAAAGAGAAACATGAGAAATCCAATCATAATTTTTAACTACTATAACATTTACTTCTCATTTTTGGTCATTTTCATAGATCTTCAAAGTTATCTTGGAGCAACAAAATATGGTCCAACTATTGATATATGGTTTCTTAGTTGCATCTTTGTTTAGCTCCTACATGGAAAACCTATTTTTCTTGGAAAAGATAAGGTTAGTTGCTTTATATTCAATTAAATGATAGAATTTTATAAAAGATAAGCCATAATTGAAGGTTGTGATGTCTTATGAGTCAAATGGCCGTAGAATATCTAATCCATGTAGTAGAATCCTAGTGGTAATTAATAACTGATATCTTTTTTCTTACTTGTAAAGTTCTTAACAATCAATTTCAAAACTTAATTGTATTTTCATGAAAACAAGAAGAAGCACGTCGAAAGGAAACTTTTAAAGAATAAATTTGAGCATTGATATCATCTATTTTCTCTTATTTAGCCACACGTTTGCCTTCTATTGTTTTACTTATTAACATTGCTAATTTTGCTGCCTGTATCTATTTCTGTATAACATAATGCAAAAAAGGATTCAATTTTGGTTTTTAATGTTCCCTTTACTAGAATATAAAACATAGTAGTTTCTCTATCCATCACTCTTTGACAATATAGATAATGTGATAGGTTGTTTTGTTTGTTTTTCATTGTTGAACTTTTTGGTTAGGTATACTTCTCCATGTTGAATGTTGAGTTGCAAATAGGGTTATTTATTATTTTGTGATCCAAACAAATAAGTTTTCAATGAAAAAGTTTAATATCTCATCCACATTGACTTCAACTAATGTAAATATTTAAAACTATAAATAACTATCCAACTTTTTTTTTCTTATACATTATTCAATATTTAAATTATTAATGCATGATTTTATTTTACTTTTGCAACTAAATTACAAATATATAACTTTATTTTACACCCGTTGGCTTAAAATCTAGTATATGTGTGTGTGTGGGGGGGGGATTAAGCTACACAAAAAAATGTTATGCCTTTTTACATCTTTTTTTAACCATTGATTTTAATAGATTTAAGATATGAGATTAAATTAAACTATTTTTTTATTTATCTCTCTTATCCTTTAAGTTTATTGAAATCAATTATTAAAAATAAATGTAAAACTAAAAAAGTTTTACACTGTTGTAAATTAATCCTTCCGTATATATATAAAAATATATAAACTATAAATACCTCATTTAGTCTAGGGTTAATTTGCATTTTAAGATTAGATTTTAAATTTTATGTTATTTTGTTGTATTTAATTTATAGTTGTTGTTGTTGTTGTTGTTATTATTATTATTATTATTATTATTATTATTATTATTATTATTATTATTATTTTAATTTTTTTAAAAAAAGATATGTTTGGTTGAAAATTCAAGAAAAGAGAATTGGCAAAGGATTAAAATTGCTGAAATTAGCTTGAGTTGGAATTGTTTAGTTGGACTCGGATTGACTTCTTGAAATTCTTGGAGATTAAGGCTTGATTTGGATTTACACTAAGTTACGGTGGGGCGCGATTAAAGATGAAATTACGCAATTTTGTGTTTGGATGACAATAATGTAGAGACTTATCGTGATATAGCTTCAATTACTCATTGGAACCTCATTGGTCTAGTGAAAATTTCTCAACTTCAATCATAGGATTTATTCCATTTTTAACCCTAATTTATTTTTATTTTTTTCAACTTTGTTTATTTTTACTTTTGTTTTATTTTTTAATTTTTTATTTAAAAATTTTGAAAATGATTTTTTATAAGATGAAATTATTAATTATTAATATTTATTAACAAAACTATTATTTAACATAAAAATAATTTTATAATTTTATAAATATTTAATAATTTAAATTTTTTATTACATATAAATTTTAACCTAATGATTTTAATGGTCATTTTCTTTCTCACTATAATCCATTTCGCTACCACCATTATGTTTGCATTCAAACATGTATCCCCGTTATTAGTTTTAATTTCATTACTACAATAACTAATCTCACATCCATCACTATTTTCAATTTCATCAAAGTCAATCTTACTGTTCATCCAAATGAACTCCTACAAATTATTGGACTTATTCCCTACTACTTAATCGCACTTGTTTATCAAAAACTCTTTGACAATTATGACTTTTTTCCTATTAAATTCAACACAATAGTTTCATAAAGGAGCAAGAAATAATTTCAGCAAAAATTTTAAGCTTAGTTTTAGGGATTTCTATTTGGGGTTTACAAAGTTGTTCACGATCAATCAGAGAGGAAACAACTTAACATGGAAAACATATCGAATATTCCTACAGCATTGTGAACATTTTGGCATAAAAAGAAAATAGGGATTCAGTTTCTAGAAGAAAAAGGAATTTGAAACTAGGTGAATAGGGAATTTAGGCTATTGGTTTTTACGTTTTGATTTGAATAGTACTTTGGGGTTTAAGGCCAAAAGTAAGGGATTTGGATCAAGGTTGTTTTAAAAAAGTATACGAGATTTCAATTTGAGAGGAAAGAAGAGGTGGATGAGAGGTTTTCTTTTTGGTATTTTTTAGCACACGCAAGAAAAACGATCGCATTTTGTTGAGTATTAGGTGAGGCTTTTGGTAACTAGTATCTTGAATAAGCCACAAAAAAGAAAGAGGAGATAACTAGCAATAGACTTAAAAATGAAAGCATAGGATAAAAATAAAGTTTCAATCAAAAAACAAGATTGAAGGGAGGGATACTTATTCCAAGCACAAAAAGTTCACGTGACATTGGAACTTATATTACTTTATCATCAATCTGACTCATATTTATTAGGTTGTTTTAGTTTAATTTACTTTGTTTTGTTAATTTTGTTTATGTCTTTTTTATATATATTTAAATTTTTGGAGATATGTTTTAATTATTTGTTATATAAAAATAAAAAGCTAAAACAGATGGGTTGGCAAAAAAATAATCTCTAAGTTTTTTTTTATACTTTTATATTTTTATCGTATAACTTAATTAATTTAATTTTAAATGAAAACTCAGCTAATGATGGAATTTAGAATATCTAAACTAATAAAAATAAATTCAAAATAAGTTAAGAGCATTTTAATAAAAGCTTAAAACATAATATAAAATTAATTGGTATCATTTTAAGATAGGTATTGTAAGTAAGGCACTATAATTTTTCTTACATGTAATTGAACTCACGAACATAATTTTGTTTAAAAGATCAAAATTTTTTTTAACAACCTTAAATTAAGTTTAAATTTTTTTTAGAAATGATAAATTCATTTAAATAGTCAATCACTTGATAATGACTATATATGTTGTATATAATAATTAAGTTTTAAGATATACATCTTATAATATAAAAATAAGAGATCTTACTTTTTATATCATAATTTTTTACTTGAAAAATTTTTTTTTTTAAAATAAAACCTTTATTAAGTTTGGGGTTAAATTCGTGATCACATCCAATGAGACTTTGTTTATATTCAAATGAAACCAACAATGATATCATCCTGGGCTCTAATAGACACAACTATAAATAGTGATAGCAACAGGTCGGGTCGAGGTGGGTTTTTACTCACCTCGAACCCGATCCGATTTTAAATATATAATACCCGAATTCGTATCCGATCAGATAAATTTTTTATTTTTAATACCCGAACCTGATCCGACATTGTATAAAATCAAATCCGACCCGACTCGACCCGAAATTAATAAAATGTTATTTTAAATATAAATATAAAATTAAATATATATAAAAATATATAAAATTAAATATAAAATTTAAAAAATAATTTTTTTATATATATCAGATCGGATAGGGTCGGATTTGCCTAAAATCCGACTCCGACCCGATATCCGATTTAAAAAAAAAAAAAAAACTGACCCTAAGAGGTCGGATCGGATCGAAACCCGACGATTTCGGGTGTTTGTGCCTTCCTAACTATAAATGGGCCAAATCCAATTGTGGTGACAGATCCAAAATGGTAAAGGCAGTGGGATTTAGCATGCCTTAATTTTAGTGTCTGTGCTTAATGTTTTAGTCTTTTTTTTGAGCTTTTCTAGTTTTGACAGTTAAACGTGCAAACAAGTCAAGAAGAAAGAAAAAGTGCAAAAAATGGGTTCTTTCTCAACAGGTTCAAGTGAAACCCAAATTTCAACAAAGGAATTCATGGAGCAGATGAATTTTCAACTTGCCCAAGCTTATGTCGAGAAGTTTCTCCAGGTTATCCTCTCTTCTGCTTCTTGCCTTTTCAAAACTGTATTTGAACTGTAAAAATCTTGAATATCAAAGTTTTTTTTTTATTTGCATCATAATAAATTTAATTCTCTCCTTTAAAGGTTATCAATTCATCAGTTAGTAACTGGTTATCCATTTATGTCTTTTTCAATGCATTGTTATGCTCTGAATGTGTATGAGCCCAATCATCCAATCCGGCTAGATAAACTTCTATGGAGTTGAAAATTTTAAAGTTAATCTTTTTAATGTACAAAAATAGGAGCACCATTGGATTTTCTTAAAGGAATTCTTTGTTTAGATAGTTAACAAATGTTCTAATTTTACTTGGTCTTTTGAATAGACAAAGGATTTTTTTGTTTAGATAGTTGACAAATGTTTAGTTTTACCCAGAAAAGCAACTACAATCCTTAGATTGCTTTTTAAGTGGCATAAACTCAACATCATTTGACTAGGCATCTCTCGAACATTCATTTTGATTTGTCAAAGTTTCGGGAGGGTTTTATAAATGTTAATGTTATAAATTATTTCTTATACTTTGGAATGTCTAATGTATTATAATCCATGCCTTGGCAATTCTTCAAATTTTTGTTTGTTCTACTAAAGCTTAATTGATAGAAGTTTGTTGACTTAAGTTATCACTGATTAACATGGTTTGAAGAATATTTTCTTAATAGTTCAAAGCTTATTTGTATGCTTACTTATATGCTTAGATATTTTTGCCCAATTCAAGTGCTTTAGTTTCTTCATATTAACATAATGCAACTATTTATTGGACATCTCACCTGTACGGTTGGCTGTTGCTTGCTAAATCTCCTCGTTGAGAATGGGAGTGGGGTGTCTGTTATTTGATTGCAGCATTAGAAATTTTTCATCATGCTTTCTATAGCATTATTTGGGGCTATATGCATAAAATCTCTACTTGAGCAATCTCACGATTGTTTTTTATTTTGCATACAGACTGTGAGGGATAAGTGCTTTGACAAGTGTATCACAAAGCCAGGATCAAGTGTGAGTGGAACTGAGAGTAGTTGCATCTCTAGATGTATGGATCGCTACTTTGAGGCCACCCGTATTGTCAGCAGAGCTTTTAATGCATCGCGCTGAAATCTTGAATCAGAAGATGTAAGCTGCAAACTTTTGACACATTTTTGAGGATGAGTGAAATTTGTGCTTGTTTTTGCCTTGACAATTCTGAAATTTGTCCTGGGAATTTTATACTTTGCATATTGATTTTTAAATTTTTACTTGTCAATCATTCAAACCTGAGATTTCTGGTGATTGACATGGTGGTGGAATGTTAAGTGGGTAAAATATAGTACCCAAAAGTTATGAAGATTGTAACTTCGATGGACAGACAAAGGCAATAAGCTATGGTTTCTTTGAGCTTCTTTTCATCATCTCTTGCTTTCACCCCTGAAATTGTTTATATTCCTTTTCAACCACATGGCGGTTATTACTTCGTAAGCAATATAGAGCCTGAGTAATAATGATCAAACTCTTACCCCCGTTTATATATGCTCCTGTATTGTCCTCAAAGTGCATGCTTATCTCCTTCCATCTCAGATACGCTTCTTTTTGCGCTATGTTGCATCTAGCCAATGTAAGGCACTTGGCTAATTTGTGAGGCAGTACGCTCTCCTGTACAGTTACAATGCACCAAAAATGTATAACATAATCTCCGCTAGTGACCCATATCTTCTTTACTAACAATGGCTTCCAGCTTGAGAGATTTACTGTCCTGTCCCTCTTCTTGCCCAACAGCACCCAACACCACCCAACACCTCTGCTAGTCTTTGCAGGGATCTGTTGATTTTCAGGTCTGCTCAAGCGACAAGAAGGGGGGGAGCTAATATTTGATTATAACCGTATTCGTCCTTGGCAGACTGGAGTTCATTACCGTCTCCAGTGCCTTAATCATGGTCAGCATCCAAGAGAACCAGTTTGAATGGACAGTTCAATAACCATCTCATAAGGTCAGTTGTCTCGTCATCTAAACAAACATCCGCTGCCCTTGGTATGCCATCTAAAACACTTGACAGAATGCATTTATCACTGTAGTAGACATCTATAAATGAAACAAAATTGGATGGAGAGATGCGGGCTTTGCTTAGGAACGTTAATGGCATCTTGGTCATGCAAAATAAGAGGATAGGAATCAGCATAGAATCTGTTAAAACCATCCTTCGCTGAAGACGCAACGAGGTGTTCGACTTCTTGGAATGCAGAACCGTAGAAGGCCATGTCGAATAACACAACTGTTTCCATAAGCTTTGTTCTGGAACTATACATTGGATGTCAGAGCAGGTACAGGCAGCTGAGGCCGGAGTTGAACCATCTAGGTGAACTATGATATCAGCTAGGAGGTCTCCGCTTAAGCACTTCAAATGACATTGCGAATGCTCTATTTTCCCTCTCTTTCCGGTCCCTTGGAAACTGGAAATAGGGTTGTTATTTTGGATACATTCAAGAACCCAATTCTTTATATGGAGGTCATTGAACCATCTCGCAGGTTCATATAGATTTTGATGTTCAACCATGTAGTACCATTGACCAATGTGATTAAAAATTTAAAATCACTAGCCGCAGTTCAGAAGGGTCAATCTCTTCTCTAAGCCTGACCATCTCGCAGATTCACAGAGATTCTGATGTTCAACCATTTAGCAACATTGACCAATGTGATTAAAATCACTAGCCGCAGTTCAGAAGGGTCAATCTCTTCCGTAAGCCCCGGGACAAATAGGCCAGATATAGCGAACTTCCAACTACATGGCTTGCTTGCCATATTTCAACTTTGCCAACTGTCAAAATTTTAAAGGTCCGGTCCATTACGCTTGTCCTAGCTGTAAAGTTCTAACCTCTAAAATAGAGTAGTTATTTCTCAAGTCTCAATATAGCAGCTGGGAATATATATGTGGTTGGTTGTTAAAGTACCAAATTTTTAATTTCAATGAGCTAAGTCAAGCACCAAAAAAACACACCTGGTAGCTTCGTTCTCTGAGAAAACTTGGTAGTTTCATCATGATATATATATATATATATATATATGTATGTGTGTGTATATGCCCACATGCTTTGGCAATAGGCGAAACAGCAGTTTGCTAGCTCTTTCCTCGCTACACAGTTCCATTAATTTATGTTATTAGGCTCGAGAGAATGGGAGAAGCTTACTTGATTAGAACTTAAACATTCCACAATTCTTCATCATTTATTCTATCATAGGCTAATTCACGTGGAATGGTATGGTATGAAGGTACATGCATGAAAGGGAAAGCTGCCTAACAATTGTATTAATTAATTAGAGAAAAGCGGAAAGTTTCCGCACTCGGTAGGCCTACCCCACCCCTTTTTTTTTCCTTTTTTGGGAATAACAGTTGTACATTTCCCTTTTTTAATCGTTAGCGGCACCACCATGGATGAAAAACGTGAAAGCAACGGCAAAAGTTCGTTGAAATCAGATCGCTACCGCCTCCCAGTGCCTAATGCATTAGTTTCATGTAGGATGGAGATGGGCCCAAAATTCTGCTAGATCCAATGGTGAACCTTTGAAATATTCTATCATGGTCAAGACTCAAGACAAGAGCAAAAGAATTTGGAACTCCCTAGTTTAATTTTAAGTAGTCCCTTGAAGAAAACAAAATTACAATAGGTCTCACAGCTCAATACTCTCATTGATTTTGCTTTATAAAATTGCAAACAGCTGTTTCCAATTAAACAGTGATGTTAACGAGCATGAGACCTATTCATCGATAAATCAAACATCAACTTTTTGGGTCTGGTTTGTCTTATATATATATAAATATATATATTTGTAAATATAATTCAATTGATTTATCATTGTACCATTCATGAGATTGATATCTCATTGGTGAATATCAGCACAGTTGAGCTTTGAATGTTTTCATGCTACAGATAGATTCAAGGTAAAACCCATCTCCAGTATGATTGTCATAGGTGTCAAAGAACCACCACAATAATATATCCAACGGTTGATCCCCCTGAATCTGAAATTTTGGACAGCTTAATAAATCCAATATGGTTGATGAAATGCAAAATGGAAAAAGTGAGATTGAAATTTGGATCACTAAACCAAAAGGATTTAACAAACCCAAAAAAGGCCCAAAGCAAATTAAACCACACGTGTGTCTAACTCGAATAAAAGTCGTCAAGGCATTATTTGAACATCTAAAACAAACCGATCCAAACCATAATCTCTACCTAACTGGCCTTGAAATTCATATCATCTACACTAGATGAATCACCTTGATCATGAGGTTTTGATCCTCGAGAACACTGGTACATGGACAACAGAAGTACATTCATTCGTCAGATCTTGAATGAAAATAAAAATGCGAGTACAAGATAACAATCGAAAAAAAGGTTCATGCATAGTGTCAAAAAATCGTGTTCATAATATATCCAAGCTTTCCTCCGCCCATGGTCCCTTGTTGAAACACTAGGACAACGTAAACTTTTGCTTTGTACATTGGGAAAGCCGATCGATACAAATCCCAAGGAAAAGCACCAAAAAGGAGAAAAATGGGAGGAAGAAAAAGAGATGGACCTACATGTCATTTTCATGCAATTGTAATATGCTCACAGAATGTACTATAGTTCAGAAAATTTTCAGACAATAATTATTGAAACTTGGAGCTCTTATTCCAACCAGCACCTTGTCCAGATACATTTCAAGAACATAAGATATCGATAAATTTGAGGCATTAAAAAAAAAAACCAGAATCATTAACATTACAGAATTGCACAAGGATTACAATAAATGCAAGCATCAACGTATGAAAACTTCCATTGTCTTAGAAATAAACACAACAGGAATCATACAATTAAGTACCTAAAAAACATTGCGTTTGAAAAATATAATTTGCCTTGGAATCTAACAAAAGTATTAGCATCAAAAGTAAGATCCAAGGAGATACCATCAAGCGTGTCATAATCTTCGTCGTCGTCGTCGTCGTTATCGTTGTCTTGCTCCTTGATGAGTTGAGTTGTTGTTGATGGTCGTCTTCTTGGTCTGGCATTTTCTCTCTTTGCCGCCACTCCAAAGATCCCAAAACCCTGAACCGTTTCGCACCCCTTTCTTTTTTTGTCTTTTTTTTTCCTTTTGCTGTGAGCTTTGGACTGGTGCTACGTGGACCGCCATGTCATCATACTCCAACAATAATCGTACCAAAGACACAGCGGCAGATTTTTTTTTCTTTTACTCTTTTGAAGAATTACGTGTGAAAGCAATAATGATTTTTTAAGTCCGCATAATGCTAAAGCGGGTCGATTCTCTTATCATGTCGGTGTGTCAATGTCACATGATTTAACACTAATAGTACAGCTAAAATATTACGCAAAGTTGAAGAATCTGTCACGTAATTACTTCGAGTAAGATTCTTCTTTAGAATTACTACTAGTTTAACAAAATGAAATGGAGAAAGGCATCATGCTCTATTTTAGACTAGGAAGATGGCTTTTTGGTTTTGTTTTTTCTTGATTACTATTAGTAAATAATCAATATTATGCACTGTCTAATCGGATCAGTAGAATTGAAAAAATATTGATTGAATCAAGTTAAATTATATAAAATTGATTAAATTATTTAAATAATATATTTTTTATTATTAATTAAATTTATTTAATATTAAAATTATATTTTTATTATAATTATTAAATAATCAATTAATAAATTAAAATATAATTAAATAATTAATTTCACAGGCAATAAAATTTAAATCTAAAATTTCAAAAAATTTTAATATTTTTTAAATAAAAAAAGTGAAATTGGAGTATAGTATTTAAGCCGGACTTGATAGTTTTTATTGTTATATGTTGTACGACACCTTTTTTTAAGATTCAGACGCATCTTTATTTTTGTTAAGTGTGGGTCCAACCCGATGCGTTTTTATCAGGCCATGTGCCTTTACTGTTAATCGACATGAAGCCCTTGATAGTAAGGAGGTGGGGGCAGGTTTTTTGGCGTGAAGAAAAAGGGATGGGCGCCGAAAAGAGGAAAAGGACGAACAGAAAAGAAAGAAAAAGGAGGATACAGATCGTCCATTAAACCGAAGTTTATCTGTGATTTTATCGAACTAAAATTTTATTAGTATATTTATGATTTTATGTTATATATTTTAAATGATGAAAATTGAGTTTAAAATTTTTTTAAAATAAAATTATAATATATGTATTAAGTTATTTATTTGATAAAATTATTTTAATTTTTATTTAATTATTATTATTTAATTTTAATTAAAAAATTATATATATTATTTAATAATGAAGTTTTTTTTGTGATATTTGATTTTTTTATATTAAAAAGTTTTTTATGTAAATCTTGTTATATTTTATTTTTTTCATTATAAATTATTAATTGTTATTTATTTATTATAAATTTATTATGATATATTATTTTATATTATTATATTTGTTACATCAAATCCAATAAATAATATCAAATTTATGATTATTTTTTAAATATCAATACGATAAAAATAAATTTTATCTCACATATTATTAAAAAATAAAATTAAAATATTATGTGTATATATAAATAATTTAAAATTTAATAACTTAAACTTTTAAATTCACATTATAATCAACATATATATATAATATGATTTATCTCTTAATAATTTTCAATATCACAAAGAAAACATTGATGTACATGTTAACACTTAATTCTGGCCATTCATTAATTGTTGATAAGACGCTGGAAGACTAATAAATACTTACACATTTCTCATTCACCACTTTTTTTTAATTTTACTAACAAATATTTGAAGAGCATTTTTAAAATTAATAGAAATATCTTCCTTGTAACATTGGAAGTCATGAACAAAAATATCAACTATTATTTTTAATATAAAATTATTATTATAAATAATAATTAATTAATTTTAAAAATACCCTATAAAATTCGTTAATAATTTTTTTTAAAATATTATTTGCGTTTCTTAACATTTGGATCAAAGATTATGTCAAAAAATAAAATTCATAATTTTCAAAATGCACTGGTACTCTAAGATATCTTTGATGAGACAGATAGTATAGATACAGATGTCAAGGCAATATTGTCACGAGTGATATAGGTTAGATATTGTGAGCGACGTCAGCATAGTGGCGTCACTAACGCTCAGGTTAAGGGTTTGATAAGAATAAGACAGATGGCACTGTCTCTGTGTTGTCATGATAAAGCCAAAGGGTCTACACTTACCGACTTAGGGGCAGATAGCGACGTCGAGTAAACAAATAACACGGAGTCCTACTTAGCTGCCATGTTCACACACCATAGTAGCTTAAGATTGAAGAAATCTTTACGTCTCATTACTCGAGGTCGACCTCCATAACTTTCATAAGGGTTTTCTAGGGGACCATAGAAGAGTTACAAATGAAAGGATTTTTGGATGCAATTATTGGTTTTGAGATATAAAAAAAAAATTTTATTATTGAAAAAGAAAATACTTCTTCTAAAAAAATCATTGGCTATAAATTTGTAAGTCTCAATTTTACATTAAATATTATAAAAATTCGTTATAATATTATATG